GAGCACCTAGGTTAAAAATGAAATGTAATTTATTTTGAATTTGGAACAAATAAAGAGTTAAAAAAAAAAAAAAAAAATCTTGGATTAGTACATGACCAAGAATTAACTTTCAAAGATCACATTGAGGGTATTCAAGAAAAATTTAACAAATATATAAAATGTTTGTATCCTTTTATTAACAAGAAATCCAAACTTTGCCTGAAATATAAGCTTCAGACATTTAAACAAGTAGGGTTACGGTATGTAATGTGGGTCTAGTCCTTTCATTCGGCCTATCACGCAAATAAATAATTAATTAAGGAATATTACACAAAAAATAAGGAAAATATTGATCACTGATGATTGATAAATGTGTACCACACACAAATCAATTTATATCACAACATTTCAATACATTTTCAGCTCTCGTAAGTAATAAAACTGGTTGAGAATATCACTCTGTTCGGAGTTTTTAGCCGCCATGACTTCTAAGGTTAAGATGGGAAGGTTGCACTGACGATCATCAAATGGCCTGATTATGGCATTTATTGAATGGAATTACCTGATAATACACACTAGACGTAAAACTCACAGTTACTGTTTGAATATTTTATGTTTATTTTAATTGTTTAACAACGTTTTCACAAGTAAATCATGGACCCAACTTTAGGGACACATTTCTTTTCTATGTTCCTAACTTTGGCCCATGAAATTCATTTGACAGCATATAGCAATAAGAGTAACGTCAACAATGTGGTTTGCATTTGGATGATAAGGAACGAACAGGAAGGGAGATTTTTTCTGCCAAATCTGTATAATGAACATCACAATGTTTTGATTTAGATATTCTGCGGTCGAAAGACGATAAGCGAAATTTTTAATTTTTAATTTTTAACTTGAGTGATTTAATGTAGTTTTCGTAAAATTTTCTCTAAGAAATGTTTTGAGGAATGAAGAGTATTAAGTTAACAGTGATAGTGATAAAAAAAAATACATAAGAAAACGTTACCAAGAGCGTTTTTTTTGAGAATCAAACAGGATAGGACGAAGTTGCATCCATAAATAGACCCAATTTGGGGACAATAGACCGATATTACATACATTTCCCTGGTGAGTTTTTGTCTTAAAAAAAGTAAGTTTTTCAACTTTTTGCGGTTCCTGATAGCAAACGACATGATAAGCATATCTAAGCATACCATTTAGCAGTAGAATATCGTTTGCAGGTAAATTAATTGATGAGTTATGATTAAAAACGTAATCTATGGCTGCATATTAGACCGAGGTTAGGGACGTATACCCTAGTTAGTCCGGCCATGCTTTATGCTGCACCAATATGGTCAAGTTGTTGCATTACCAGGAAAAAAGCATTTCAAAGGATTCAGAACTTTGTTGCCAGCTCAACCAACTAGCACAAATTTCAGTTGCTCCTGAACTCTCATGCCGGTAGATGCTGATGCCCTGTTTAAATAATGCTGGCTACGATCCACACAGATGTAATCACCACATAACAGTCATAATAAAGAAATCTGTAAAATGCTTATCGAAGCTGTAAACAAACTCGCTTTCTTGGCTTGTCACAGCATCGTCACGCATTTTGCAGGCCCGGTATTAGACAGTTATATATTATTTTCCTTTGCTCTGATTATTTCAAACTGAATTGTGGAGAGGCATATTTTAAAATGAATATTTTAACAATTTATTTGTCGATCTGATGTTATCATATTTGCGATATGGTTCAGCAATATCCATAAGAGGGTTTGATGTCCCAAAGGACTAATACACAATGCGGTTTAAAGGGCATATGTAACAGATACCTGCCAAGATTAAATCCGCCTCTCAACAACAGGAATGAGGGTAAAAATCCAGCGTTTTTTATGATTTCAAGTCCCTCCAAAACAAATGATTGATGTTGATTCAAACAAAGTAAAACCTTTTCTTATAATTAGATCAAATTTTCGTGTTTCCAATTCCGTTCGGCTTTGCATTAAAATCTAATTCACTCCCTTGAACACCCTCTTAGCAAGCATTTCTCCAAAACTGGGGCTTGTTCATTGCAAAAATCTTGACTCTAATGATAATTAATATCGTTAGCACTCGCTCACTTCCAGACGCAGGAAACCCGTCAACATTAAAACAAAACATCTCTGCTTAAATACCGTAAAGATTGTCATCGCTCCACGTGCTGCAACTTTTAGTCCTCGCCGTCGTCGTCGTCGTCGTCAATCAAACAATAGGTAGCAGAGCGTTCCCTTAAAAGCCATCCCCGGTTCGGGAAGCTGAAAACAAATACTTTTATCTTAATCAGCATCCTTTTCTGGGAAACCGGGGGGAAAACTTGTCATTGTCACCACCACCACCACCAACGCCAACCGATTGAATGACGCTAAGTTTTAAAGGACATGAAGTGCGTAACCACTTCTCTTTTCGTGCCAGACCGCTGCTGCCGCGCTCAGTGAATTGAGTTAGGGTGTTCTCTTGCGCCATTGTCTTTGGTGGTTGGTTGCGAGAGGGGGTGGAATGGAAGGGGCTGGTTTTTCCGTACACATCAGCAAATATTTCCACTCATTAACGCCGGAGCGTGATTCAGGGATAAAGAAGATGTCTCACTTTGTTTAGGTTGACGAGCATGAACGGCAGTAGATGAGAGTGAAAAGTGCTAGCTAAATTACTCTTGATGTGGAACGTGATACAGTTGATGTGTGATGCCCTAGGGCTATCGGATCTCCGATGATGGGTTAGGAGCTGATGGCTGGCTGATCTGATTAGAAGTTAAATGGTTTTAAGTATCACATTAAAATTTTGTTTGGAATATTACAGTGCTGTCGTTGAGAGTAGACGCGGTTAGTCGACGACTAACTAGCATTTTGAGGAAATCGAAATCTTTGTTTTTTTTTTCATAATTGTTGTGCCCTTATATTTTATATAGCGAATAAGTAGTTCGAATTTCATGAATACAACGCTGAATATTACAGTATGTAATCAATGTTGATCAAAAAGTTTACAAAGATAAGAATTCACATTGAGAAAACCTAAAAAGTGAAAATATGAAATCGAGGATTTTTTTATTTATGGAATCGATATATCAAGACCAACAATTGAAAAGGCCTCAACTCCATTTTGTAAACAATCCTTGTAAGGCAATTTTCTCACAAACCAAAACCTAAATTCGCAATCCTAAAACACCATCGGGTAGAGGAGAATTTCCCCTACTTGGTCATTTTTTTTTGGTTTGCTTTGGCGGACTTCGGTTCGAGACAAAAAGCCTTACAACGATTGTTTACAAAATGGAGTTGAGGCCTTTTCAATTGTTGGTCTTGATTAGGGGTTTGTACCATTCTGTCATAAAAAATAACACACACAATAACTACATTTCAATCAATTCATCTCAATGTGCCAAATGGACCGCTCCTTCTCCCCGGCCCCTCATTACTCGGTGTCATCTTCGTTAGAAGGTGATTTTCGCTGCCATCATTATATGCGGCTTAAATGATTTCCCTCGGGGCATATGAATAATACCTTTCCCGAACGTCCCGGATCGCACCTCGCCTGCATCCAAGGAGCAAGAGTTGCAAACAGCTCGAATCTGTTGACAATACTCTTCAGACCATGCTAAAAGGCATTCTGCTAGCTTGCCTGATGCCGATTTGATACGGTATTACAGAAAGTATGTGAGTGATTTTATGAGCAGATCCCCACCACCATATCAATCCATATAGGGAGCACAAAATCAGAGCACATAGCAAGCGGAAGGAAAAAAATGTTATAAAACTCATATAAGTAAGTACCATTGAGAGAGAAAGAGGACCTCATCAGCTTCTTTTATGTGAAGGGGGGTTTCGGGCAGGGGATCGGATTCTAGAACTGTAAAATCCCTTCGGTCTTTTGTGGTGTGTGATACCGCAACAACAAGGGAAAAAAGCAAAAGCGAGCATATCCAGATAACAACTACATTACAAAGCAGGATCGACAACCAGGACGGCATGGGACGTGAAGTTTGAAACCGTGACGAACACACGTTTCGATCCAGATGAGATTGATGCATGTGACTTTCAGTTTCCTTTTATTCTAAAGCTTTCAATGCGATTAGAGTAGTTCAATTTTTCTAAGCCGTATTACCGATGTTATTCGATTTCGAAGAAGTTAAAGGAGGTGGGTATGGAGTGAAAAATAATAAAGTCTCCATTCGATGAGTTCAAAGGGTTTAAAGGCAATTTACCGGCTATACTGTTTGGAAGTTTCTTCTTAAGTTATCAAATTTAATATATTGTTTGACCAGCAAATTCGGTTTACTTAGGAAGAATATGTTTGTTGGCCGAGCCAACTGGAGGGAGATTTCCGAAACAATGAACCACCACAGGAATTTTAGGTTGGTTAAAATTTCCTTTAATAAAGAATTAATTAGTTTTTAGAATACGGGTATATAAATTTGCTTACGTTTAGTGCCTCCTAACCTCCTTTACCACGATTTCACTGAGCCAGATCTCCCAATTTAGGTTAAGCTGCATGAATAGGTATACATTTTAGGATAAGCTTTTTACTAATTCGTTTAGTTAGTTTAGGATTCAATTCTTACCTTTGTTCAAACTAGTATTACTAAATTATAGAATAAACAACTTGTAGGATAACCAATTGTAGGGTAATAAATTCTAGGGTAACCAATTCTAGAATAATCAATAAACCAACTGTAGGATAAATAATAATAGGAATTTATAAATCGTATGCAACTAGTAATCCATCACTTCACAACTAACCACTTTTAATCGTAACTGCTTATAATTTTAACTGACTAAGCTCAAAAAACATCTAAATGCACTAGATTAAATTATTGCCTTACTACGATGCCGTGGCCTTTGCATGAATCAGCAGTTTGCTTGTTCTCTCTCCCTGTCAAATTCCTTTCATCGTCCCTAACGCCAGTCATGCCAACGGTCGATGAAGACAAGGTGTTGTTAAGGTAGGTGCGTACCGTCCGAGGGACGTGACACTCCCCCCCGTACGTGGACCCGGTCCACCGGTCCAGCTTACTCCGTCTCGCGCCTGACATCCAACACTGCCAGCTTCACCGTTGGCCGCTCGTAGATCCCGCTGATAGTCTGCACGGTAGCCTTACGAGTTTGTCCTCCGCTGGTTACCACTCCGATGACCCGCCCTTTGGGCCAACAGTTTCTGGGGTTCTCGTGGTCCGCAATGACCACAATTTCTCCTACCTGCAAAGGTTTCATCTTCATGTGCCACTTCGAGCGCCGTGTTATATCGGGAAGGTAATCCCTAATCCAGCGTTTCCAGAACAGGTTTGCTAACCACTGGGACGTTGGGAACCCTCGTTGTAACACCGCAGTATCCGCATCGATCGTCGTCAACGGCTTAGATCCATCAGATGAGCCCAAAAGGAAGTGGTTGGGAGTTAAAGCTGGTGCGGCTTCGTCGTCGATGGGCACGTGAGTAAGAGGGCGCGCGTTGAGTACACCTTCTATTTCCGTTAGAGCGTTCCTTAACTCTTCATCGCTTGGTCGTCGTACACGTAGAACTTCCACCAGATTGCGCTTGACCGATTGGACTAGACGCTCCCAACTACCGCCCATGTGGGGCGACGCTGGTGGGTTGAAGTGCCAAGCCGTGGATGAAGTAACGAACTCGTTCATTAGTTGATTTTGGTCGATTACCCGATGGATCTCCTGTAGCACCCGGTTGGCACCCACAAAGTTGGTTCCTCGGTCGCTATAAAAGGCTACAGGTGTACCTCTTCGAGCGATAAAGTTTTTTAAAGCCATAATGCAAGAGCTTGTTGTGAGAGTGTTGGCTACCTCAATATGGACGGCTCTTATCGTCAGGCAAGTCAGTAGAACACCCCATCTTTTTTCGACCCTTCGACCCACAGATACCTCAATTGGGCCAAAATAATCGACCCCCACATGTGCGAATGGCCTTGTGTATGCGGACAGCCTTGCTGCTGGAAGATCGGCCATTTCTGGTGGCCGAGGAAGAGCGTCACGGTTTTTGCACCACTGGCAGTTCTTGCGAATTTTGCCTAGAGTCTGTCTCAAACGGAAAATGCTAAATTTTTGACGGACTTCATTGACAACGATCTCGTAGTTGCGATGCAAATATTTTTCGTGGTAATGTGCAAGTATTAACGATGTCACTGGGTGAACTGGTGGTAGAATAACAGGGTTCTTCGCGTCACTATGTAAATAGGAGCACACTCCGGTTCTGCCTTTCATTCTCATGACACCCAAGTCATCTACAAATGGACTCAATTTATAGATAGAGCTGGTCTTCGGAATCTGCTTAACTGTTGCCACTTTTGCATCCAATGTTGCGACTTCATCCTGGTATACATCCCGTTGCGCTTGTCGAAAATGGTATGCTTCAGCTTTTCGTAGCTCCTCGGATGACAGAGGCCCAGAAACAGGTGAAACTTTGCAATGACGACGTCGGAGATTCGAGCAAAATCGGAGTACGTATCCAGTTACCGCTAACAGCCGCCGCCAACTTGAAAATCTGCAAACGTCGATTGCCGGTTCCGGAGCTTTGTAGTGAAGAAGTATACTGGGTCTCATGTCTTCCTCAGTGGAAAGAGATTTCAGTGGAAGCTCGGGCCATGTCTCCTCTGTTTGCATCAGGAACTCAGGACCCCTAAACCACCTGCTTCTGGATGATAAATCGAGATGGTCCCGCCATCGTGTTCCATCGTCAGCCACGTTCATTCGGGTTGGTACCCATCTCCACTCTTGGAGGTTTGTTGACTCCAAAATTTCGCTAACTCTTGATCCTACGAATGCGCTGTACCGTTTGTGGTCGGCTCGTAGCCAACAAAGTACATTCCGAGAATCGGTCCAGAATGTGCGTTTGGAGATTTTCATTGTCAGGTTTTGTGTAACGCTAGCCGCCAGTCTGCAGCCGAGAACAGCAGCCTGGAGCTCCAGCCGTGGAATTGAAGTGTACTTGATAGGTGCTACCCGTGTCTTGGCAGCCACCAGCGCGCATTCCACGTTACCGCCTTCCGTTAATCGCAGGTATACGACCGCCGCCATGGCGCTTTCGCTCGCATCTACAAAAACGTGCATTTCGATAGTAGCAGCTTCCGTTGACGTCACAATTTGCCGGTAGCATCTAGGAATCCGCAGTTGTTCTAACTCTGGCAGCAAACGTACCCAATCACGCCATCTCTCGAACAAATTCTCAGGAATACTCTCGTCCCATTGAACATTAGCGCGCCATACTTCTTGCAGGAGGATTTTCAGCAGGATCAGGAAATGATCGATGAGACCTAGTGGATCGTAAATTGTCATTAGCGTCCGGAGAATCTCCCTTTTTGTAGGGCAACGACTTCCATTGAGCAACGCTTGATCAAATCTCGTCCAGCAAATCTTGTACTTGAAGACATCATCTCGCGTATCCCACCACATTCCCAGTATTTTCTGGTTTGCTAGCTCGGTAGTAATATTTAAGTCCTTTTCAACCGCCTTCTCTCCGTTCATTTTGAGTTGTACCAATGACGAGTTCGATACCCAATTACGGATCTCAAATCCACCTTGCATGTGTATGAACCGTACTGCTTCAGCCAGCTCAACCGCTTTCTGTTCCGTTTCTACGCTTATCACCATGTCGTCCACATAGTGCCCTTCTTTGATGACGGCTACCGCTTCCGGAAATTCTTCCTCGAATCTGTCGGCGTTCCTGTTCTTCACATACTGGGCCGTGGCTGGGGAACAGCTCGCTCCGAAGGTCATAACTTGCATTATGTATGTGCTCGGCCCGTCTTCATCACGATCACCCCACAGGAAACGCTGGCAATGCTGGTATTCGGGAATTATCCCCATCTGGTGGAACATCTCTCGAATGTCCGCACACACACCGATCCGATACTCCCGAAACCGATATAGTATGCCAACCAACGATGCTAGTAGATCTGGACCAGTGAGGAGTGCCGAGTTCAAGGATATTCCATACGCTTGTGCGGCAGCGTCCCAGACAATCCGCACTTTTCCGGGTTTATTTGGGTTGAATACCGGGAAAATAGGCAAATACCAAACCCGATCGTACTTTGCTGCAAGCTCCTCCGATGTCAACTTACGGATGTAGTTTTTCGTCCTATATTCCGCAATCTTCTCGTTCATGGTATTCGCCAGATCCTCATCCTTTTCCATGCGCTTCTCCAAACATCTCCAACGACGAACTGCTACAGCTTCATTATCCGGCAAACGAATTTTATCAGAACGCCACAGCAGTCCCGTTTCGTAGCGGACTCCGTTGAAGTGTGTACGAGATTCAAGCAGTGACATGGCACGTTCGTCATCTTTAGACATTCGGAGCTGGTTCGGCTTGACTACCAAACTGTCGATGGAAAAGTAGTCTTTTACCATTTGGTTGAGATATGTTTCGCTTTGCTCGTTGCAGGTACAGATATGATAAGTGTGACTGGTGTTGTTTAACGAGTTCTCCATGGTCCAACCACCATACACCGTCCAGCCGAGATTTGTTTTCACGGCAATCGGTTCACCTATCGTTCCCTCGCGGCTCCGACGAACTAACATGAGATTGGCGTGCCGTAGACCTATCAGTATTCGCGGGCGGACGTTTGAATAAGATTCAACCGGCAATCCACGTAAGTATGTGTGCTTCTCCGCGAGATGAGCCATATCCAAAGATTGGAAAGGTAACTGCAACTCTTCAACCGTTCTTACGTCCTGAAGCCACGTTCGTTTCCCTCCGTGTCCGCTGATCTCAATGTTTACACTCCTTGAATTGGACTCGTACCGGTGTGTGCCACCCGTCCACTTTAGACAAAGTGGAAGGACATCTCCAGACAGATTTAACTCCTCGGCTAATTCCTGGTCGATTAGAGTGAGCTCTGATCCGTCGTCCAAAAAGGCGTGACACTTTGCCTGCACTCCATTTCCAAACAGAGTTACTGGCAAGTAGCGAAAAGAACCGGGACCCATACCAGACTGGTGTGTATTCACATTGCGTTCTTCATTCTGACTTTGCGGTTCACGTGTGTTAAATGCGCCTCTGCTCGGTCCTGCTGGAACAGACATATCCTTATGGAGTAATACATGATGCTTGAAGGTGCAACCATTCTTTCCGCAAACAACAGAGTTGCAACCACCTTTGTGCTGTCGTAAACACTTGCGGCAAAAGTTGAATCCACGAACTGTCGCCCATCTCGCTTCGTACGATAGCTCCTGGAATCGCTTGCATTTCCCGAGATTTTTGCAATCACCCTTGCATGCCGGGCAAGGTTTGCTGTCTCCGGTCACTGTGCTGCTTGGAGCCGAATGCTGTTGCTGATGTTTGTCCTTGGCAATGACCTCTGAGTGAGTATTCACGTACTTTTCCTTTCGAACTCGTTGAAATTCCTGATTCTTGCTCCCTCGGCACTGAGGCTCGAACACCACGTTCACATCTTCCGCCAAATTGTAGATCCATTGGCTGAAGGTGGTCAGTTGCACCTTGGAAAGCTTCCTTTTGTACCGCGCCCAGTCCAGTCGTATTTGCGGGGGCATTTTCTTGACGAACTCCTTCAGCAGCGTCATATCAAACATGTACTCTTGTGCTCCACAAGATTCTACAGTGGCACACAGATTTTGTACCTCTAGAGCAAAATCCACAAGCTTGTCCATAGCGTCAGGCTTAATACTCGGCATCGACACAATTTTGTCCTTCAGGTACTCGATTATTGTCTCCGGCCTTCCGAAACGCAATTTCAATGCACTGATCGCTCTTTCCACAGTTTCAGGTCGCATTAAGAAACTTCGAACGGCATTGAATGCGTCCCCCTTCAAACAGTTTCTCAAACGAATCATGTTTTCGGCTTCGGTATACCCGCACATCTTCGTAGTATCCTCATACGTAGACAGGAACATTGGCCATTCCTCAGGATTACCGTTAAATTTAGGTAACTCGCGGGGAACGACCTGGCGCGCTGCTAGTTCGTTTTTGGAGAGTTGGTTGTTGCGTACGGGCCTGCTGGCGTCTTTCCGTATTTTCCTGGTTGGTTTCATCGTCGATCTCCTGCGTCGCCTGTCATCGTCATAACGATCCGTTTCACTGACAGATGTTGGCTCTTCTCCGGAACCCTCGCTCGAATCTTCGCTGGAATCGTCATCCTCCCACGAATCTTCAGTCTCGCTTTCGTTTTCCGAATCAACGCTGGAATCTTCGATCGACGTACGCTTCTCGTCTCGATGCTTCAACCAATCCACCACTTTCTTACGGGAAATCTGCAGATCAGGAACAGACTCACCACTGCCTTCCAAATCAGCCATCTCCTTCAGGACGTCAAATTTCTTCTTCACTAATTTCCGCTTACGACGTATCTCTTCCTGCATCAATGCTTCTTCTGCCTCAATCCGCTTAAGTTCCACATCCAAACGCGCCTTGGCTGATGCTGCCGATGCAACTGAACCTCGAACTGAACCGGCTTTGCGCACTATCGACTGTACTGCCGCCTTCACACGCTCCTTGTTTCCGCTCGTTGTAGCAACTGGAACTGCTCCACGTTGCCCATCCGAAACACCAACACCATCGGCCCGCTTCGCTGTAGCGGTCACCTTCTTCGCACATTTCGCATTACTTGGCCGAACCACCTTCTTGATGAACGATTTTTTCTGCACTGGTTTCTTCCTTCGGGATTTCACACATTTGGTTGCTTTCGCGGTAGCGCATTTCAAGCAAACCCAACTATGGTCCATGACGTCCGCGGAAACACCCACACACGAGAAATGGTGCCACACATCGCAAGTGTCGCATTGCACCATATCATCATCGTCCAGCTGATCGCAATTCGCACAAGTACTCTGAACCACCGGTGTGGCTTTATGCACTGGATTGGCACGATTTGGAGATTTGGGGGTCGAGCTCGCGACTGCGTCGCTATGAGGACTTTTATCCGACATCGTTCCTTGGTAAACGAAATTTTAATTTGTTGGCCGAGCCAACTGGAGGGAGATTTCCGAAACAATGAACCACCACAGGAATTTTAGGTTGGTTAAAATTTCCTTTAATAAAGAATTAATTAGTTTTTAGAATACGGGTATATAAATTTGCTTACGTTTAGTGCCTCCTAACCTCCTTTACCACGATTTCACTGAGCCAGATCTCCCAATTTAGGTTAAGCTGCATGAATAGGTATACATTTTAGGATAAGCTTTTTACTAATTCGTTTAGTTAGTTTAGGATTCAATTCTTACCTTTGTTCAAACTAGTATTACTAAATTATAGAATAAACAACTTGTAGGATAACCAATTGTAGGGTAATAAATTCTAGGGTAACCAATTCTAGAATAATCAATAAACCAACTGTAGGATAAATAATAATAGGAATTTATAAATCGTATGCAACTAGTAATCCATCACTTCACAACTAACCACTTTTAATCGTAACTGCTTATAATTTTAACTGACTAAGCTCAAAAAACATCTAAATGCACTAGATTAAATTATTGCCTTACTACGATGCCGTGGCCTTTGCATGAATCAGCAGTTTGCTTGTTCTCTCTCCCTGTCAAATTCCTTTCATCGTCCCTAACGCCAGTCATGCCAACGGTCGATGAAGACAAGGTGTTGTTAAGGTAGGTGCGTACCGTCCGAGGGACGTGACAATGTTAGAAGAACTTTGTTCTCATATTTTAATATAGCGGTATTTTATCAGAAAGATGTAGCTCTAATCTCAATCAAATGCTTATGGCGGTAAGCTCTAACTCGGATTAACTTTTAATACCGTCTATTAATCTAAACAGGATGCTCTGCAAAGTGTTTGCTTAGAGCCGTGTTGATTTTTTTTTAACTTTATTAGAGAGATTTTTAGCCGTTGGCTAGTTCATGTTGATTAGCTCTGATGTCGACATCAAAACAGCCGGACATTTTTTATCGAGATTTAATCCGAGGTTAATACCGGTTGGAGCCTACCACCATTAATGTCTTTCTCCAACTCTTAATAATGTTATAATAATCGCTAAAAAATCTTAACAATTCGGAGGACAACATTACAATATATCCAATGCAAACTGGTTTTTATTTTTATTTACATTATCTGATAACATAGCGCTGCCAAATTGATATGGTGTCCAAAGCAAACATAGATTTAACTTGTTGTAAAAATGTACTATAGGCTTAAAACGAAGGAAGTGCATCTTGCCCCAACGGTGCATGTTACCCCAGGTACCCCTAATCGTTTCAAAGCGTTAGTGCGGCCGCGAATGAAACATTCACGCTTTTCTCAGCAAAATTCGAAACAGCCTGACAGCTTCGAATATTTTCTCCAGCACTTCAATTTTACAAAGTAATCATTGATTGTAGACAGTGATGGCATAATCATTAGCAAGTGGATATTAGTCCGCTCTCATCCGCTCTCAATATCAGCGATATTGGAGCAAAATATCATGCTCATACGAGACTATTCACATCGTGAAAAGTTGAAGCTAAGAATTGAATCGAGACAAAAATGAGTCCGTTGCACCTCGTTTTTTTTTAGAGAGAGAAGTTTAATAATGTTATCTCTTTTATCTCTTCACCGGTGGTAGACACGAAGCGACTGCTGCGATCCGTTATGGCAGTTTCGGTTGCATTTGGGTGTAAAGCAAAAATCATTAAACTCAATCTCACCACAGTTTGGTGTGACATGCAGCTGATGAGTTTTGTTAGTTTGTTTTTTTTTTTTGTTAATTACTTTATTTGTACAGGCTCAATCGAATAAACTTTACAGAGCCAAGTTATCATTTTCTTTATACATTATAAATGTCTTAAATCTAAAATTAAAGGATTGGAACCGATTACTCGCGGTCTTCTCGAGGTTAGTGGATGACAATTGTTTGGATCGGGAGAGGGAAAAGGAGATTTGGAATATGATTTATGATTAAAAAATGTCACTATTTCTAAAACATATACTTAATCCTATCGACGTTATATCAAATCTGTAATTATACAATTATTATAGAAACAAATCTACAAAAAAAATACACACACACATACAAAACACAAACTAAACACAAGGTTAATCAAACTTACAATCTATGATTAATATTCTTCAAGAAAACATATATGAGTTGCATAAACTCCAGATCGCGTCTAGCCAAAATATCCCGAATTGGAACATTAGGTTGTCTACCTCGAGCCCGAAGGGAATCGTACAACTCGGATCTGACTCCACGGTGCTCAGCACATGACCAAATAATGTGATCTGCGTCCTGGTAACCTTGTCCACATTCACAGAGATTACTGTCCCCCAGCTCAACACGGAACAAGTGAGCGTTTAACGAGTAGTGATTGGACATGAGGCGAGACATCATACGAATGAAGTCTCGACCCACATCCAACCCCTTGAACCAAGGACACTTCGACACCTTAGGGATGATTGAATATAACCATCGTCCCAAACTCCCTTCACTCCATTTATTTTGCCAGCTGGCGAGTGACTGTTGACGATAAATGAAGAAAAATTCGTCGTAGGCGATTTGTCGATCGTAAATATCGCCTTCCATAGCGCCCACCTTTGCAAGCGAGTCCGCCTTCTCATTGCCCGGAATCGAGCAATGAGATGGGACCCATGCAAAGGTGATGACAAAAGATCTTAAAGATAAAGCACTTAGAAGCTCTCGTATTTTCATGAGAAAATACGAGGAGTGCTTTACCGGCCTCATGGAGCGAATAGCCTCGACAGAACTGAGACTATCCGTAAAAATAAAATAATGATCTGGTGCAAGTGAGGCGATCGTTTCTAGCGTATAATGTATTGCCGCCAGTTCAGCAACATATACGGAACAAGGAGCATGAAGCATTCGAGAGGCGCTATGAAATTCGTTATAAATACCAAAACCTGCGGACGCCTCTATTAGTGATCCATCTGTGAAGAACGATCTTGCGGAATCAACTTGGCCAAACTTTGCAGCGAAAATTAACGGAGCAATCATGGAACGATGATGCTCTGGGATTCCGCGAATCTCTTGCGTCATGGATAAATCAAAATGAACAGAACTGTCGAAGTCGGAGAAGCAAACACGATAGGGATTATGCTGCGAAGGGCTGACATCCTGTGTTATGTACACGTAGTACAATGACATAAAACGAGTTTGAGGGTTTAGCTCAAGAAGCTTCTCAAAGTTTTCGATTACCAGTGGGTTCATAACTTCACAACGGGTGAGGAGCCTGAGGGATAATTCCGAAAACCGATCCGATAGTGGCAACATGCCCGCCAACACTTCGAGACTCATCGTATGAGTCGAGTGCATGCATCCTAACGCGATACGAAGACAACGATACTGGATACGTTCCAGTTTGATGATGTGAGTTTTAGCCGCCGATTGGAAGCAAAAACTACCGTACTCTAAAACCGATAAAATCGTTGTCCGGTACAACGTTAGAAGATCTTGCGGATGGGCTCCCCACCACGTTCCGGTAATTGTTCGGAGAAAATTGATCCTTTGTTGGCATTTCCGCTTCAGATACTCAATGTGGGATCTCCAGGTGCATTTGGAATCGAACCAGACCCCAAGATATTTGAAAGACATGGAATGAGTGATCGGCTTACCCAAAAGTTGAAGCTTCGGTTGTGCTGGGCTATGCTTCCTAGAAAAAACGACTAACTCAGTTTTCTCCGTGGAGAATTCGATACCTAGCTGAATAGCCCAAGTAGACAAATTGTCTAAGGTATCCTGTAAGGGTCCTTGCAGGTCGGCCTCTCTGGGTCCTGTCATAGACACTACTCCGTCATCTGCAAGTTGTCTCAACGTGCAGTTGTCCCTTAGACAATTGTCAATTTCTCTGACGTAGAAATTATACAGAAGGGGGCTTAAACATGAGCCCTGGGGGAGGCCCATGTAGCTAAATCGTGAAGCTGTAGAGTTTCCATGAGAAAAGCTCATATGTTTCTCTGACAGCAAATTGTACAAAAAGTTATTAATTAATGGAGAAAGGCCACAAGCGTGGAGTTTGTCTGAAAGGACTTCAACCGATACTGAATCAAAAGCCCCCTTAATATCCAAGAAGACAGAAGCCATTTGCTCTTTATTAGCAAAAGCCAACTGAATTTCAGTGGAAAGCAACGCGAGACAGTCGTTCGTTCCCTTGCCCCTACGGAAACCAAATTGAGTATCTGAGAGTAGGTGGTTCAACTCAACCCATTTGTCCAGGCGAAAAAGGATCATTTTCTCCAACAATTTTCGAATACACGATAACATCGCAATGGGACGATACGAGTTGTGATCTGACGCGGGTTTTCCAGGCTTTTTAATGGCTATAACTCTCACCCGCCTCCAATCATCCGGAACAATATTAAGCTCCAAGAACTGACCAAACAAGTTCAACATGCGCCTCTTAGCGACGTCTGGGAGGTTCTTCAACAAGTTGAACTTGATTCTATCAGCCCCCGGAGCCGAATTGCCACACGAAAGAAGCGCGAGTGAGAGCTCCAGCATTGAAAAAGGCTGGCTGATCTCGTCTACCGAATTCGTCGTTTCGCGAGGAATCATTTGTGCCGGCACAGAATCAGGACATACTTTTCGCGCGAACTTGAGAATCCAACTATTCGAGTACTCCTCACTCTCGTTGTGTGAAGACCGGTTACGCATCCTTCGCGCCGCATTCCAAAGCGTATTCATCGACGTTTCGCGCGATAATCCGTCCACGAATTGCCGCCAGTATCCGCGTTTCTTGGCTTTGATGAGGCTCTTGAGTTCGCGTTCAAGAGCCGAGTACGCTTCGAAATGTACGGGTGTTCCACGTTTCCGGAAAAGCTTAAACGCGTCGGACTTTTTACGATAAACCTCAGTGCATTGCTGGTCCCACCAAGGGGAAGGAGGTTTCCTACGGAAAGACGTTCCTGGAACCGGCCGAGTTTGAGCTTGAAGCGCGCTGTCCAAGATCAGATTGGAGAGGAAGTTATATTCCTCCAACGGTGGAA